TCGTTTGACACAAGCGAAGAGCCAGGAGCCAGGAAAGCAGCTCTGTGCAGGGACCAGGGGCAGCAAAACAAATGTGAGATGGAGCAAACACTGCTAGGCAAAAACCAGACCCCTGAAAAGATGAAGAACCAACTGGGGATTTTAGTTAAGGCTTGCAAATTGTTTCCTTTTTCTTTTGATAAAGCAGTTGATTAGCCCGCATTTCCGTGTTGCAATGCTTTGTCTCCAAGAATTATCCCCTTGGCCTCTCTGATCGAATTAGTCCCTCTGCTCCACATTTCATATTTGGTAATTACATTAACTTTTGGTTGCTTGACTCGAAGGGTCATGCTCCCCCCTCCTCTGTCTGTTTCGTTCCTGCCTGCTACAAATAGTTCCCACAAATCTTCTAAATCAAACCGCACGAAGCTCATAGGCTTAAAAACAAAATTGGCAACCATTTTTAACTTTTCTTCTTTTACTCTTCTTCTCCTCCTTCCTCAGGCCCTCACAGACTTTTAAGCAGAGTTCCCTGTAGCCAGTTTTTACCACAGGGACACACACAGGCCAGAGGGACTGGGCCTCACTGTGCAAATGCTTTGCAGGATCACAGCTGCAAAGTTTTCAAAATTATCCATTAATGCACATTAACAAGGAACTGTAAATCCCTTGAAGGAGCACAGAGCATCACACTATGCTCCTCAGGCTTGGTAATGAGCCACCCAGGGTTTAACAGAACCCAGGTAAGTTGGACTTGGATCTCTCAGAGAAATGTCAGAAAAGGCAATTTGTGAGAGAAATTACAAATGCTTCAGTGACCTGTAAAAGGAAATTATCACTAAAGCACTAATATGCTATGAAGGAATGAATAAAAGTTCTGAATGAAAGAAAATTACACACCCCACAAATAAAGACTTGAGGTTTTAGTTTGTGACAAAATAATTGCAAATGCAAGACCCATTTTAGGCAAGCAGTGGTGCTGAGGTGAAGCCCTGCAGAACAGACCACCTGCGGCTAATAAAGGCAGCAATTGGGCATCTGCCTTACCTCTGAGAAGTGAGCTGCAAAGGCTGCGTCATTTACTGCCAATTCCACTTTTCTAAAAAGTCAAGAGAAGAAAACAAGCCATTTAAAATAAACATGTAGAAATTGGTGACAAAGGATTGAAGATACTTAGAACAGATATTTTCTTAATCCTTTCCAGCAATAGTTTCTGGAAAATTGTACTTTGCACATGTATAGTGTTTAATTTATCTTTTAAAGATGAGTGGCATAAGTTGTGATGATTTAGGGGGAATTCCTCCTATACTTAGTTTAAATGCATTGCCAGATCAGAAGATGTGAAAATGCAGCATTTGAATAATTGATTTATTTGTCTTGCTTTTCTTTTCTGCTTAAATCTTGTGAAACTTAATTACCATTGCTTTCTATAAACCAATTAACTGCTCTCACCTTTCCTATTTAGCAGTAATGGTGTTTTGTTTTGTGAGCCAAAGTAACCAGTAGCGGTGTTACTGTGGCTGGCCCTGAGATTTACTCTATTGTATGGGTACTCCATAACCTATGGACTACATGGAGACTCTTCTGAGTGGGGATCCTACTTGCAGATCCATGAGCAAATAAGTTTCTCTCAGGTGAAGGTCATGTAACAGCAGTACAGAACATTTTCAGGAGCCTCAGTGTTCTATCTCCAGGTGGTCCCTAGATAATTGTAAGCAAGCTCTAGCACCTGCAAGACTCCAGAAGCAGAAGTGATTTCCACTGATGATGGTTGTTGGTGGCTTTCATTCTGGGACATCCTCAGCAGTGTGTTGGTGGCTCTGAAACTGCCCTCATTGACAAATTTTTGCTTCAGAACAAAATATAAATTATGGATGGGGTAAAGCCCCAAGAGTTTGCAAAGCAGCCTGATTGTTTTCCATACCCAAGAGAGGCAGGCTGAAGATGTAGGAAGTTATTTTCCAGAAGTGGAGCATTTCCATAACCATCCCTCCAACTGCCCCAGCCCCGATCCTGCTGTTGTTATCATACCAAACAGAATAAGAGGGAAAATCTTCGTGGCAGTGCAAACAGACAGAGCAAAAGATGCCAGACAGGAAAGGAGGTCTGGAGAGAGGAAAGTACCTGAACAGCAACCGGGGGACAATTTCTCTGTGTCACTAGGATGCAGATTTTCTGATTCAGTTCTGTGACTTAAATCAAATTTAAGCTGTTTGAACTCATTCTGGTCGTATTAGTTTTGCCACCACAGGGTGTCTCTGCATCTCTTCTAACACCAGAGGCTTTGGTGACCTTTAATGGCAGTCTGCAAACTCCAGGGAATATGGGGCTAAAGGAAATGTCCCCCAGGTCAGCTGTGGATTTTCCTCAGGATCATGAGCCTTCTTGGATTGGAATGGTGATGCCTTCATTAGCTGGTAGGAAATTCTATTTTTAGCAGCTACAGTGCAATGATGTTGTTTAATTTGGTTTAGAGAACTCTGGTACTGCTCTGGAGGAAGTCATGGCCAGATGATGTGGGGCACTGTTGCAGCTTCAGCTCATTCTGCCCTGTGCTCACAAGGTCTGAGGTGTTTTCCCTGTAGTGGAACATTTCTGCTAATTTCTGATTTCTAATTTTCCTGACTGCCATTTCACCTTTATGCTTGTGGGGGTATTTTCTGTTCCCTTTCAATCAGGAAAAAGCTGCCATGGGGTCATCATAAACACTGTATCATTTGCTCTGGATAGTTTGTATAGTAAAACATTTCAATAGGTTGGGTTTGGAGTCTTCCAGGTTTTTGATTTTTTTGGTTTGGTGGGCTTTTTTCTGTTTGCTTTTTTTTTTTTTTTTTTTTTTTTTTTTTTTTTGTTGGTTGGTTGGTTGGTTTGGTTTTGGGGGGTTTTCTGGGGTTTTTTTGGGTTTTTAAAAGGGTTTTTTTTTGTTTTTTTGTTTTTTGGGTTTTTTTCGAGGCGTCTGGCACCAGCACTTGTTCTACCCTCCATGTAATAATGACTGGAAGTGAGAAAACAGAAATTTGTTTTTTGTTTTTTGGGTTTTTTTTGAGGCGTCTGGCAACAGCACTTGTTCTACCCTCCATGTAATAATGACTGGAAGTGAGAAAACAGAAAGGGCAGAAAGGTCTGGTGGAAGGTCTCTCTGTCCCAGAAGCTCCTGGCCTCACCAGCCAGGCATGACTTATCACTTTCTCAATATTCAGGTGTGGCTTGGGTTTGAAGATGAAGGTGAGAATGTCCCTGGTAGCAGCAGGGACATTCTGTGTTTGGTGCCAGCCTGAGTGTGAGTGCTGCTGTGGCATCACACAAATAATCATATACATCTATCATATAAACAATCATATATATAATATTTGATATAAGTGTATCTTTGTCTAGGATGTCTGAAAAGTAAACTCTCCTCTGGAGGGAGGAGTTATGGGGGAATTCCAGATGAGAAGTGCTGAGCTGAGTAATCTGTGGGTGGATAAAGCTTGAAGGTAGTTGGGAATCTCCTGATTGTCATCAGGGTGTACCAATTGGTTGAAACTCCATCTTTACATAGAGAAAATACAGTTTGAAGTGTTTTCTACTTCCATCAGGAAAAGTTTTTATGGCCAGGCTCTCATGAGTGTGATACGTGAGCAAAAATCCTAAGGCTCGAAGTGCTGCCCAAAGTGACATTTATTCATTTGTGCAGATAATTGGCTCCAGCACAAGAGGCAGAATGCAGTGGCAGGAGGTATGAGGAGTGTCTAATGCAGTGAGCAAGCTCTCAGGCAGCAGAGGAGAAGGGAGAGGGGTTCCTGTGACTGTCAGTTCCATAGCTCCCCAAGGAGCTGGGTCCCTTCAGAGCTCACAGCCCATGGCTTACATGTGAGTCAGGCTCTGGTAACACCTGAGCCTGGATTTGGGCAATAGTGTGTCCTGATGTCTGGGCTGTGGGTGATGTCACATTCCCTGACGACATTCTGCATTAAAATACTGCTGGTTGATAACAAGTTGAGGAATGGAGATTGATGCCTTGCTTGCTCCCAGTAGCTGTGGTGCTTTTGCCTATTGCTTTGAGGAACAATTCACCTTTTCTTAGATTTCCACATCAGAAAACATGGATTTGATCTGATGACACTGTTGCACTTGACTCCCAAGAGGCACCCCAAGATCTGAGGTCTAGGTACCTAGCAAAGCTGCTTGCCTTACCCAAATACCTGGTTTGAATGGCCAGTGCTGGCTGCCACTGACACCCACGGAAAATTAGTGAAGGCAGCGACAGGTGAAGCATCTTTTTACAAGTGAACAAGGTACTGTTGGGGCAGCAGTGTTAAATGCCACTTCTTGAAAAACCCTGCTGACTTTCTTATTTCTTCACCTCTGTTTAGAGCATGTGAAGGCCTTGGCTCGAATGCAGAGGAACATGTGCTGTTCCAGAGTTTCAGTTCTGCACAGGGCAATGGGCATGCCAGGGAGGTGCTGGTGTTCATGGAGGGTGAGGCTGGATGCCTGCATCGAGGGTGAGTGTGAGGTGATGTCTAAGCCAGAGGCAAGGACTTCCTCTGAGACACAACCTTTCCAGAATCGGTGCTTGATCTGGTAGCTTATCTGTCTCTGGATTTGCTCTGTGGGTTTTCATCCACAAGTGGTTGAAACAACACTCACAACAGCGTGGGATCGGGCAGCACCTTCCGTCATTCTCTTCCTTTTAAAGATGTTTCTTTCTAGCGAGGAGAGGCAGAAGGAGGGTGGTTAGAGAAACACCCAGTGGTTTCCACCTGTCCCCCGGCTGCCGGCCGCAGTGAGCCCCTGTGCTGTGCCCTGTGCAGTGCCCGGCCCTGGCTGTGCCCTGTGCTGTGCCCTGTGCTGTGCCCTGTGCTGTGCCCGGCCCTGGCTGTGCCCGGCCCTGGCTGTGCCCGGCGCTGTGCCCTGTGCTGTGCCCTGTGCTGTGCCCGACGCTGTGCCCGGCCCGCCGCGGGCCGCGGGTGCGGAGGGCGCTGCGAGCCTCGCCCCTGCTCCCGCCCGTGATGCCAGGCGCAGGCATGCTCAGTAGCCGGAGCCTCCCCTCCTCTCCCCACAGCAGCGCCTGCCGCTGTAGGAGCCGGCTGGCAGCAGGCGCGGAGCCGAAAGCCATCTTTGCCGGAGAGGGAGCCAGCGCAGCCCGCTCGCCATGTGAGTACCGCCGGAGGGCTGCGGGGAGACGGGCACCCTGCCGGCCCTGCCGCAGCGCTCCGGGGCCACTGCTGCCGCCGGGGGTGGGCACGGCCGGGGATGGACACGGACCGGGGGTGGACACGGACCGGGGATGGGCACGGCCGGGGATGGGCACGGACAGAGAGATGGACACGGACAGAGGGATGGACACGGCCGAGGATGGACAAAGACTGGGGGATGAACACGGCCGGGGATGGACATGGACAGACGGATGGACAGGGCCGGGGATGGACACCGCCGAGGATGGACATGGGCGGGGATGGACGCGGACCGAGGGATGGACATGAACCGATGGATGGACACGGACCGAGGTATGGACAGGGCCGGGGATGGACACGGACAGAGGGATGGACATGGACCGAGGGATGGACACGGACAGAGGGATGGACAGGGCTGGGGCTGGACGCGGACGCGGCTGGCAGGGCGGGGGCTCGACAGGTGCCGCGCTCGGAGCTGCGGCAGCACCGCCCGTCCGACCCTCTGCTGCTGCTGCTGCTGCACCTGAGCGCACGGATGGGCTCTCTCCGTGTTTATCCAACAGCCCGGGGGCTTCTGCCACGTTTCTAGTCGAATTCATGCTGAAAAGGGAAGGCTGGGCCAGCAGCTTCAACAGGTTCGAGTCAGGGCGGTTCAATCGCATGAGTCACCAGCGCTGCCGCTCCACGGCGCACGGTCCTGCTTGTTTTCCCTGTTTAATGAAACGCTCTCCCGCAGACGGCTGCTGTCTGATCAGTGCAGCCTCACCTTCTCCAGGGCCAATGGCTTCCTGTCAGCTGTGCTTGATAGTAATCTGTTCCTTCTTGTTCCTATCTCTCCGAATTCCTGTTCCGAGTTTTCACATGGAGCATGAATGGAAGCATTAGTGTTCTCTGTTAGGCAGCGATGAAACCCCCACAGTCCATCCTCAAACCAGAAGTGTGCTGAGGTAAATAGAAATTGATCAGACCCCTTTTCTTTCACAAAAGGATTCAGGCAGTGGAATGCATCATTTTACTAGTGCCTCAATTCATTGCTCATTCCCAGTGACCCTTAAGGGAGAGCCCAGGAGGATGTCTCAAACAGACAGTCATGTGTGCTGGTACTGGGTGATCCTGTAAGAGCTGGAGCTTGGTTGATTCAGGGAACATGAGGAGTGCAGACTGTCTTGGAAATCTGTGATTAAATTGCTTTAAAAATATTTCCAATAACCAACTGTTCTTTAGGAGGAATTTTCAAAATAGTGTCTACAATCACATATTCTGAAATGTTAGCTTTTGTATTTGATGCTGTTTCCTATATAATATCTCAGACAGGAAGCTTTTGTTCATGTTGTCCAAAATATTTCTAAAGCAAGGAACTGCTTGGAATTACAAAAAAACCACTTTCTAATAGAAGATTCCTTATGCAAACACGGAAGCCTGTCAGTTAAAGCCAGTTCATGGTAGGCTGCTGTTGCCTGGCTGTGTTTCTGTTGAGCTGGATGATGACATCAAACACTTTTATTTGTACGTGAGCTGATCTTCAATGATTAATATATGAGTTTGCTGCTGCAGTTTTGTACAATCTGAGCTGTTCTGATGCTAAGCAATAATCAGATGATGTTTAACATAACCTGTGTGTGTTTCAGTCTTGGTGTGTGTAGGTTTTTATGAAAGTATTTGTAAATTAAGTAGAAAGGGTGATAATGATATAACTTGGTCATACTTCTGTAGGGTCTTTATATCAGACTGCTGACAAAAAATAGAGGAAAATAGGAAAGCAGTTATTGTCTAATTTAGCCAAACGGACTTTCAGTTTGATAATTGAAAGAAAACCAAGACAAACGAGCACCTTGTCATTGGCAGTGTCAGTTGGCTTCTGTTTCACTGCCAGACATTGTAATGAAACCTTTCCTTTGAACATGTCCATGGATGTCATGCTGAACTGCTGATGAAGCCCAGAGGTGAGTGTGGGTTGGCTCCTGCCTTGCAGCAGCAGCTGGGGTTGCCTGGCTGAGCACCAAATGCTCTCTGGAGCTCCCTGCTGCTGCTGTGCCACCTGTGGGAGTGTTGGGCTCCTCCTGTGCCTGTCCAGACCTGCGCTGACACTCACGGTGTCTGACTCCACTGCTGGGATAAGGATCTGCCCTGGGCCAGGTGCCAGCCCCACCCGCCCCGTGTGCTGTCCCCTGCAGCAGCTTGCAGGGTTTGCTCAGGGAAGGCACAGGGCTGTGCTGAGCTATTCCCAGAATGCTTTCCCAGTTTCCAGCTCAGGAAAAGGTCTCCAGCTTGGGGAGTGTCTGAACCTCAGGGGAGTTCTTTGTGTTCATGTTTCTTTGTATTTCATCTCTCCTGGTGGGCTTTGCTCTCTCAGTGAGGTGTCCAGTTGCTCAGTTTGCAGTGTCCTGGGGAGAGGAGCTCTGCAGTGTGGAAGCAGCTCCCTGTTGGTTTGGAGCTGGCACGGAGCAGGTTCTGCCTGATCTCACTCCTGTTTTGGAAACCAGAGAACAGTGTTCCTTATTCACCATGTTTTCTGTGACCCGTGGTTGTGTGTCCCCCCAGCAGAGCTGCATGATCCACATCAGGTGGGAATCTGTCCCCGTGACCTCTCCCAGTGAGCACCCAGGGCAGGTGAGATCCATTCAGGTAACAGAACTTTCACCCTTATGCAGGCAGAGGAGGGGAAGCTGTAACAGCAATGAATGAAATGAAAGGAGAAGGACAGAAAAGGTATTTAAAGCAAGAACAGAGAAAGGTTAGACCTGCCAGTAGAGCTGGCAAAGTTGTTCCAGGTGTGAGGAAGAGCACACAAACTCCTTTGGAGGAGCTGTGAGAAGCAGAGAAGGACAAAATGGTGCTCAGAGTTGAGGTGCTCCTGGGCTTTGTTCCTTGCTGGAAAACAGGCCAAGAGCAGAGGGTGAAGTGGTGGTTTTGTCTCCTTTACAATGGTCACAGCTCAAAGGGTAATTCCGCACAATAGCAGCCCAAGGCATCATGTCATCTGCTGTTCAGCCAGGTCAGTGACCAGACTGCAGGGTGCCTCTGATTGCATTAATGCAGCACCAAGGGCTCCATTGCAGGGGACACCATGTGTGAGACAGCAGCGAAGCACCTGGCTCCCCCCGGGGCACATCCCATCTCCTTCCCCAGGCAGCAGTTAGAGCTTCTTAAAAAAATTATTCTTGTGCCTGTTTTAGAGCAGCAAGGAGGGGATGGGTGGGATGAAAATGGTTCCAGCAGTAGCAGTGGGTCTGTTCTGGTTGAATGTCTGTTCAGTTTCTCTGAGAAGAATGTCATGACTATTGTCTCCCGTTGTTTGTAGGGCAGTATTTAGCCCTGCTTTTGTGGGCATAATTTTATAAACCTTGTCAAAATCTCCCTGCCCTTTTCTTGTACTAATCAGCAGAGACAAACCATTGAGTATAATCCTCTTCACAGTCCTGAACCACTGCTTGCAGGGAGTTCAGTGCCTTACAGAAGTGCGTTCAGCCAGGGCATGTCCTAGGAAGGTCCACCAAGCATGAAATGGAGGGAGACACGTTCAGGGTGCTGCAGCTGGTCCACGCTGGGTCTGTGTTCCCTCAGAAATGTGTTCCACAAGAGCTCTGTGGATCCAGTGTGCAGGAGGATGGGAGTGCCCCGGAGCTCTCAGGGTTTCATACCTGGTGGCCAGCCAGGGTCAGGAGTGACATTTGCTGGCATTCTTCCTCCTCCTCCTGCAGCCAGCCAGAGGGACTGATGGCTTGGGACTGGTTCACACAACCATGGCTGTGGAGCTGCTCTTCTCATCTGGGGGATGTAATGGGGCTTGTAGTGAAAATAACCAGGCTGTTCTCAGAGCAGCAGGGCTGTGTGCATTGGAAGAGGATGTTGAGAAGTGGGAAGCACCCCATTCTCAGCACAGGTCTGTCCTGACCCCTGTGCTGCCTCTGAGGCTCACAGCTCTCAGGAAGAGCCTTGAACTCAGGGTGTTAGGAGTAGGAGCTGCTGCTTAATCTGCTGCCTGGAGACATCACCAGGGGGATTCTGGTGTTTTATTCATTGTTGGCTTCCCTGACTTGCTCTCATGTGGCATCAAGCAGACAGATCAGCTTCATGTATTGCAATGGAAATAAATGCTTGCATGAAGTGTTGTTCCTCATACACTCAGCTTGCCCTTTGAAGTAAGGGTGGCCCAAGTAGGTCATACATCTTTTGGGTGTTTGGGTGATGAGTGTTTGGAAGTGTAGAGATCAAACTGTGTGGTGTCTTGAGGGCTCAGCCAAGGAAGTAATCTCAGAAAGGGAGCTAATGGGAAGGATATGTGACAAGTACAGTATTATACAAGTATTATGTGTTCTAATAAACATTCTTCCACACCGGCTAGCGGGAAGTAGATTAAATCCAAATACGCGTAGTTTGGAGGTCACTGTCCTTGTGACTTAGCTCTCCTTCTTCCTGCTGTGTATCACCACAGCTTGTTCCCCTCGACTCCCAGCATTTCTCACAGACAGCTCCAGCTGTGGAGTGACTCACAGGACACTGAGAGTGGCTGCAGCAGCAGATGAATTGGTCTGGCAGAGGAACACTTCTCCTTCTTCAGGAACTATTTCCATAATTAATGTCTTCCTGAAGAATCAGTGATCAGGCTGTAGAGCACCAGGCAAGGCCATGTTTGTGTGTAGGTGTGTAGAGAATGTTCCTGGGTGGGGGATGAAGGGCTGAGGGGAGGAGAGGAATGGCTTCCATGTTCTCCCTCTCCTTGACTGCTACTGGGCTTTCTACCAAGTGGCCAAATCCAGGGAGAAAGGATGGAAGGCAGGAAAAAAGAGGGAGCAACCAGTCCAACAACCACCAGCACTGTGCATTTGAGTCATTAATCACCAGACAGAGAAATCAGAAATCCTGAGCACCAGTGTGCTCCTCTGCCACGGTGTGTGGGTGCAGAGCCCTGGAAGCTGCTGCCTGACGGCCTCAGCTGAACGTGCCAGCTCCAGCAGGAGCAGCACAGACAGGCACCGA